CGGGGGGGGGTAGCAAGATATTGTTATGAAATTTTTATTTCTATGTTATATTTTCTTAAAAAATTCATTCCTAAAAAAAAATGATTTGTTAAACAATCAACAACAATAGCTCTTATTTGATAATTGTCATTGTTGATTTTTAAATTCAAAAAGATCCATCCATGCTGAGTTATTTTTGTTCCTGAATCATCTAATGTTATTTCACCTGTTTGTCTATGAATTTGATCTTGACAATTTAATTTAATAATAGTTGACATTGTAATTAACGATGAAGTTGCTCCCGTATCAATCATAGTTGAAACTCTAATGCTATTAATCCAAGTTGAAATAAAAATTAATGATAGAGAATGTAATTTAGCGAGAGCTGAACCATCATTGGCTACCACTAATAGTTTTTTGAATAACAATCTCGAGCAAAATGACCAATTCTATTACATCTATAACATCTAACATTTGCTGATGATTTGTACCATTTATGTTGTTGTTGTTGTGGTGGTGGTGAGTAAGGTTTTATCGATGATTTAATTGCTGATATAGAATCAATATGTGATAATTGTAAATTATTCATTTCCATATTCAATGATAGATCTAATTTTTCTTCTGCTTGCGCTAATTCCAGAAATTGTGCTACGGTTTGTGGATCTCTTCGTATCACCTCTTTTTTTAACGTTTTAAGGCCAACTTTTAAATAAGCAATTTTATAATGATAATTCATATTTAAATCAATCATATCAAATAACTCGATCATATCATTATAATAGTGTAAAACAGTTTCATCAAAAGCTTGTTGGCGACTTCCAACCTTCTTTAATGCTAATTCTTGATGCATTATCGATGAAAATGTTTTATGAATTTCAATTGAAAATGTTGACCAATCATTTATTGTCGACATATTATTAAGAACATGAAGCTTGCAAAGACAAGGGAGACATGTATTGACGTTAGAAAGAAACTGTTCCACGTAATCGATATGTACATGAGTACAGTCAAGTTCGATGAGATGAGAATACTCAATAACTGAGGATATTTCTTCAAGTTTTACTAACTGGTGTGACCGTATCTCCGTTTGTGGTGTTGTATTTCTAAGTATCAGACGACTAAGTAATGGAAATGAGCGTGAAATCTGAGCAAAGAAATTATGTTCGACAGGGTGAGAGTCATCGAGCATACTTAGATTGCGGGTGTGGGTGTGGGTGAAAGATATCAACACCCACACCCACACCCTCGTTTCTGAGGCAGATGCTGGATAAAGTGTTTTGTATAATAATAGGACTATAGTATTCTCATTTTATCGTAGTTCATTGACTTTGAGTCATATAAACTTTCTGAATCCAACAATTTTGCTACTCATCTAGCACTTAGAATAAGTTCATATCATAGCATACCTTTCTTTCATGTTAAATCAATGACTTCTACCACACGGTTTTAGAAATTGAGAATTACCAATGAATTCTTCTTTTTTCAGATATAAATTAATATTAAATAGTCTGCCAATCAGCTTTTTTAAGTAAAGATAGAGGTTTTCAATCTAATCAGGGGCATTCTCAAAAGAAACCATGACCACATGAAAAGGCTTCATGAGAACAAAAATAAAATTATTTACAATAAGTAAATAGATTAAAAAATTCTATCGCTGCTTTCAAACACTTTCATGCCATTTAAAGAATATTGTATCATCTTAATGTAAAAGTTGCGTGTGGGTGTGGTTTTTACGTGTAGGCACTAACACCCATACCCCATATACATCAGTCTGTTTTTCACTTAATTTCCTTAGCTTAATCGAAGCATGTTTTGCAATCTAGTTATTCAAATTATATTCTATTAATTGAATTATACCCCATATCCATACCCTGTTTTAGAAAACACGCTTTGACACATTTTTGTTTCGAACATTTTTCTATAGCTTCTTTTATTATCTTATTCGAGTAGTCTACTATGATAATGGTCTTATCCAAACAATTGGTAAACTAAAATTTCACCGATTTCGAAGCTGGAACTTCCTGTAAACGTGGCTGATCCTCTTGCAGTGGTGTCCGCATACGTAGATCCAAAATTAAAAGTGCCCTTCACCAGATTGCTTTGATCGGGCACACGAATATCAGGCCCATTGCCGAATGTTGGACCGTAGCTTGCATGAGCATATAGCGCATAGGCTTCAGAGCCACTCTTGAGCAAGTAGCGAGTCGGTCGAATAGAATGCGGGTTTTTTAATGTAAAGACAAAGGCTTTTGGATCCCTTATATAGGAGTTTCCAGAGCTCCATGACATATGTGCATAACCGCCGAAAATGTAGCCGTCCTTTGATTTTATTAAAGTCATTGTTTCAGTTTTATCATTGCAATGATAATGGAAATCCGTTGCAAGAAAACCATCTCTAGTAGCTTTATAAATCAGTTTCCATAGAGGATTTGTTTTACCTGCAAATTGGTTTAAAGTGATTTGGTATTCCGGTGTAAGAATAGCACTATCTAAAAGAAGAGAACATCTTCATATATTATATTCTTATTTTACTCGAAAAACTAGAACCCCGTCTTGTAACACCCAATCGATTCTTTCATGGAATTTAAGTGAAAAATATTCGGAGGCAACTTATCGGAAGCGAATTATTTGAATTACACTGCTCCGAACAATCTCAGAAGTTAAAGTGGATATGAGGGTGAAATATTATGGATATCGCTAAAATTTGCACGGCAAACGCTTAGCACAGTGTCTTATGGAAATGGTTTCAATGAGGTGACCCTTCCATCTGGATACATCAGTAAGGGTGTGAAAGTCGATGTTCTAAGAAGGATTGTATAGTGCTTCCACATTTCTAATACTAGCATTATTGATCAACTCAAAATCATTTTGTCGTCGATATGCATTCAAATGCTTTCCTCGGTCTTCTTACTTCTGAGTGAAATGTTCCTGATTACATTGCCATTTTTCTATTCAAGGAAACAAAAAGTTCTGCAAATAAGTTTGAGACTCTTGATACGAGCTTTTATTTCAATGGTTTCATATCCCTTAGACAACAATAATCGCAACTATTTTCTTCACATGAGTGTTTCAGAACTCCTAAAATGACAATTATGCTGTCTCAGAAAACTTCAATAGTTATCTTTGCAAAACTTGTGGCTTGTTTCTTACATCAAAGTAGTATTGCCATCTAGTAGAATATCACAGAAGCAAGACTTTACAGGTTTGAAAAATGCAGCGGCTACTTGTTTTTAGAATAATCTTCGTTCATCTCTTATGATCGAAACATTCGATTTTCGAGGAATAGGAATCGATTTTACAACACACAGGTGCCACTCGTACCATTAGATATTACTTGAAGTGTAGAAAAGTAATTCTCACTCATACTTCCTCCTCAACACGAAGTCAACCTTTTCAGTTTCCTAACCCTTCTATCTATTACCAGTTTAACTCCAGTGAAATTCATTTATTTTTCTGTCCCTTCTATTACATTTTTTGTTTATCTTCGAGCAGTTTACACGACATTTTATAGCATTTAATCTTCGGTTTATAAGCAACAACACCAGATCAGATCGTGCGTACAATTTGGTATTACTGAGGCGCGTTTGAATCATGAAAATTCAGCGTTGGAGTATTTATTTGCTTTCTCGATAATACCATGACTACTCAAAGAAAGCAGCCAATGTGACCGAGAATTGGCAAATGATCACCGATTTCATCAAATTTTCGCCGAAGATTCACATAACCCTTTAAACTAGATTATATTTTAAGAAAATTGGGGTATAGCACAGAAAAAGGTCTCGTTTTCATCGAAAATTTATAAACCAGTTTTTGGTTTTCTAGTGTATGTGAAGTAATTTTTGTGTACTCAAAAAGTGAGTACACTGTAGATTCGGTCAGTGTGCCCGGCTGTTGACGCGATAACTCTTGAAAGCCTCATCCAATTGTCTTGAAATTTTGTACACAGAATGATCTCATCAATATCTCAGTCGAATTCGAAGATGAGAGGGATCTGTCAAGAAATGACTGAGTTATCGAAAAAATTGTCATTATTGACCAGATCATCCCTGAAAAGGGGGGACAAAGATATTTTCAAAAAAACCTTTTTTTCTTAGAATTATTCAAAACATATATAAATTGACTCAGTTTTTGCAGTACACATAACAATCGGATGCGAATCCGATGTTTCCTCATTTATTTTATCTTGGTATGTCAAAGTCTTTTTTTCATTCTACTCTTATAGAAATGTAATTGGACAGCATCTATATCTTAACTGTTATATAAGCCTTGAAGTTGTAGATTAAAACGTGAAATAACAGAATAAGGGAGAAGCTTAATAGCGTTGTCCTTTCAAGCGCTATTGCAGTTCGTGCTAAAATTACTGGACAGATCTAAAGATAGTTTCTAATTTAAACTTACCGCAGCTAGGTGGAGAGACTGGGCGACATGAGACACCGGCAGGACATTTTACGCAATCGGTTGATGCAATATGAGTGTTGTAAGTACCGACTGGGCAGACAGAACAGCATGATTGTCTGGTACAAGAAGTATATGTACCTACAGGACAAGCCACTGGATTTTGATCGGCAAATGGACACATAAAGCCTGCTTGACATGCTTTGCAGGACTCAGAAGCACTATGATTCGTGTGGTAGCCTGGAGCACACGGTGTACAGTCATGTTGACCAAGTTCACTAAATGTACCCGGTGGGCAAGGAGTCGGTGGAGTGTTATTTTTGAAGTTTCGACATGAGAAGCCTGCTGGACATAGTCCACCAGAGAATCCAAACCCTTGAGATAAGTAACCAATGATTTGGATCACAATGAATAACTGATTTTTCATCCTTCTGTATATTGTCTAGCTCAATTTTGCGTCTTTTATATACCATCAGTGATTGTTGGTTTGTTCTTAGACTAAGATTAAGATATGCTATCAAAATCTGTAGGAAACTAAACCTAATTAAAAAATGAGCATCTCTCAAGATAAGATAATAACAAGGATTATGGGCACGCCATTTCTCTTTGTAGATTTTCAGAGAACTAATAAATATTTGAGTTACGATTAAATTGAAAGTGAAATGCCTCTCCTAATTACACTCCTCTTTTTCGATAAAAGTATTATCTAAAGAATGACTCTCTAAACTATGGAGGTAAGCCGAGATAGCAATGATTTGCAAAATTGAAGACGTGATTGTATGGGTAACGGTGAGTGTAGATGAATTTATGTTCATGCTTATGTAAGTGTGCTGAAATATTATCATAATTTATCTATCCTTAATTTAAAAACAAGTTCTGTTGAAAAAAAAGGAGTTGGTAAAAGTAACTTCTTTGGTTCCTTCTACAAATATTGTGCGCAAATGAAAGAAGGCTTAGTTTTAAAATCGCCACTAACCTTTACGGGCCTCTGGAAAAGAAGTTCATTTCAAGAAGTCCTCCACAGCGCTGCGAAAAATTTTGGGGGAATTCTTTTCACGTTTGAATACGTTTGTGTGAAAGTTATAGAGAACTGTATGCGGATATTCACCGTGCATCATTTTTGACATAGGACAAAGCACGAAGGAGAATTTTGAATCAAAGTTGAAGTCCTTTTGTATGCGACATCAGTAAATTCATCTCTTATAGATATTCGTGGTGCTTTTACGTTAGCTGATTTCATACATTGATTTAAGAACAAATGAGTGCTTCTAGCGTGCATATAACAGTTTTCAACAGATGTTTTTATTTGAGATAGCTTGAGGGTATGGGCGTGCGGCTGGTAAAGTGCTAAAAGATCAAATGAAAAATGAGAGTGTGAATGTGGGTGTGGAGTGTAGATTAAAGTGTATCTCGCATGCACACCCACACCCTCATTAATTTACATTGCGACCAATTGTCCGTGCGACGAATTGTCTCGCGACGAATTGACCTAGTGCCGTCAAATTGGTAACTATTCTGTAGTACTGAACCCCTCTTGATGATGAGTTATCATTGGTCTCGCTAGTTACTGACAGCATCCGTTTAGACTGAACCATTTCTGGCGATACATTATAAATGTTTCTGTTGATTTTTCACGGAACCCACTTTTGGACAGAACCTTCATGGGGGTTCTGTTTTTTACCAGGTACTAGAACCCACTAAAAGGTTTTGTAGAACTCCCTTTTTTTAGAGTAGTCCCTTCTAATGACGAAGCAAGTGAAGGGGACTGCCATAGTTCCCATAAGGAACTTTTATCCCTCCATGGCTATATTTTTTTAACGGCGTGACCCAGTACTTAGGTGAAACTCAACCTCTTCCTCCTTCGAAAGATATTTAAGCCCCCTGATGAGAACTGCCAACAGTGAATTCTATTAGTTAGGAGGCTGAGAGCTCTCCCCCTAGCTTGATCGGAAGCAAAATCGTGGTTCAGGGGCTGCTTCGCACGTGTCTTCTATGTTTATTTTAGTTGCGTTTTTTATTCATGGTTCTTGGAAATTTTTCATTTCCTTCTCATCGGTACCCCACTTTCACTTATTCATCCTCTGCATTTTTGTCTCGATTGAACTTATCCACTCATATTTTTGGAAATTTCAGCATCTGTGACGGAAACTGCCGACGAAATCAGCGGTTCATATATTTGCATGTGTGAGTTCGGTCAGTCTAGGGCTTAGTGAACCTATTTTCGATTCATGCTATTTGTTGTTCTTGGTGTAAGGAATGGTTTTAGCGCTGTGCATTCCGACAAAACATGAATAGCAAATAGCAATCATTAACAATTGTGAGTATTTTTCTTACTGTGATAGAATTATCATTATGTGGAACAGTTGTTTCTCCAACAAGTAGTTACATCTAACTTTTCTTAAATATCATTTAAAAAACTTCTTGCTCCTTTACTTATGCTATATGGCTTTCTAGTGTCGAACATAAAGGCATGAATGGTACACAATTTTAAATAGCTACTAGTACTTCATTGACTTCGTTATTGATATTCAATGACTCATCATACAAATATTTTTGCTATTTTATTAGTTAAGAGCAACCAGGTCTATTGTCTGTCTACATTCAGCTCGTGATGATTGGATAATGGTAAAACGAGGATTCGTAATTTCATTGGATCACTATGTACGAAGCTGATGTGAGCAACACAACGTTTCTTATGTTTATATGTTGTGCTTACTTCAATTGATCAAATTATTGTAACAAAAAATTGAAATACAATGAATTTCAAAACATGTTTGCGTTTCAACCAATCATATAATTTCTTTTGATGCGCTATAACTTATATGAAATTAGCCATGCAAGTAGCGCCCATGTATATTTCTTGTCAGCTTTACATTTTTGCTTTTTCTTTTCTTGTTTGCACATTAATAAAAAAAAATAAAAACGACCAACGTAGGTGTATGTACATTTTCTAATCAATATGGAAACTCCATTTTCACCACCGGTCCTTTATTTAACCGATGATGATAATGATGATGATGATAATCTGACAGAACAACATATGTTTTACGGTAGCTCATTGAAAAATACAATCAATGAAAATCTACCTCATAAAAAACGAAAATTAGCAACTTCAAATGTTCAAATGAATTCATCAATGTTTCACTGGTCTAAACGACAGCGAAATGACAATTACCTACTGCAACAACAACAAGCAGCTAGAAATTTCTTTAATCACGAACCAGAAACAATAGTTATTGATTCAGATGAATCTATAGTTGAAACTGAAGAATCTCATTCGTTTGTTGCATTTGATTGGACTAATGACACACGCGCTGCTCCTAAAACATATTCAAACCCCATGCAACCGACACCTCGACTAGCTATTCCACCACAAAATACTGTGATGAATATTTCGAAACATCATATAGATCAACCAGATACGCATCCATTGATGCCAATAATTCATCAAAACGACAGGTATATACCATCGGCACGAAATAAATCAATTACTTTTCCGATACCATTAACTTCATCACCACCATTACCATTACCTTTACCTACATCAACATCAGCATTTACTCGACCTTCTGTACAACGTTTTCCAGCAACAAAGACTATTCGAATTCCTTATGCACATTCCGTGAGTCAAAATTTTTTATTCTATTTGATGAATCAAATGTACATATTTGCTGAGTCAAATAGAGAGCATCTATCTATCTCTATCAGTTTGTTTTGTGACTGTTGCGTCGAATAAGTCAAGCGAATCCATTCATCAATAAATCACGTATATGATTGTAATAGCCATGTGAGGTAAATCATCCGATTCTTTTTACGAGAATGTAAATATTTAATTAATCATGTCATATTAGATGCATGAAAATAATTTCATTCAGATCAAAATAAAAATAAAATATTCATTTTTCGAATTATCATTCAAGTTCTCACATTGATAGCCGATTAGAATGCAAAACTGTAATTTTTTCCATACTTCCACTAGATGAGCATAAGCGCATTAGTTGTCCTGTATAGCTCTATAGTTAGAAGTAAATACCGCTATATTTGAATAGGATCCTAGTATGATATATATAAAATAAATAAGCTGGTGTGATAAACAGAAAAAATTGTAGAGCTTCTTGTTGGAAATTAAAAAAACTAACGAACAGAACTCGATGACGATCTTGCAACTTTTAATTATGTTAATAAATATTCTGTATCAAAATCATTTACTTAAGTGAATTCTTCCTGTTTCAAGCTGTCACAAAAGCTTTTTTAATTATATACAATTTCAAATGAACTTTTTGAATGAATCGATATTAAAATGACTGTTTCTAATAGAGATGTCTCTACTTTAGCCATCAGTACCACCCGTAGTAGTTCATCACCGAACAGAACCCATATTTTCACCAGCATTTCATCTATCTTCATCAGTTCCAATAATAAATGCACCAACAACAACAGAAATTCATCGTCAAGCAATTAATGACAATGCTGTTTTATCAGCATTTTATGATTCAAAATGCTATCGATGTAATATTTGTCGATTTAAAACTATCACTAGGTACTGTGATTAACTATTTTTCTTTTTGATATTAATTCATTTTATTATTTAGTTCTATTCTTCTTCAACATCTTTTTACACATATATTTTTTTGTCGTCAATGCTCATTTTATACCTATTCACAACACGGTTTATATCAACATATATTCGAAAAGCATACTTTGAATTTTCATAATGATACTATTGATCCAAAAAATTTAGATTTACTCTATGTAACACGTTGTCAAGACGGTACCTTTGCTTTATGTATGGATTCATCAGCATCCAAAACACTAATTTCTACATCATCAATCCTAGCAAATCATGATGAACAATATAACAATTCAACAGCAGCTGCAGCAGCAGTAGCAACGACAACAACAGTTAATAGTAAAAATCCAAAACGTAAACCTCTAAAGAAAAAAGAGTCTAAACCAAAAAAGAAAGAACATAATGATATTGTAATTTTATCAGAAAAAATGGATGTGAATTCTCAACCATCGACATCAACATCAATAACAAAACATTCAACATCTATAGAAAAACAAGCACATAGATATGTTGTAATGAAACATCGTCGTTATTTTTCAATGAGACATTCTCTATGTTTACATTCATTAACATTAGAATATAATATATGTCGAGAATATACTGTTCGCCGTATATGTAAAACACAAGGAGCTGTAAAAGGACGAAAAATTAAATCAAAACTAAAATTATTAACATTCATCGATGATATCGCAAATTGTTTGAAAATAATTATAAATGATATTGTCGATATGGAAGATAACAGGTTAGAAACAATTGAATTCTTATATTTTCTCAAGTAACGGTTCTGAAAGACATATATATATGCGAAGATTTGTAAAATTATTTTTCTTTATTAGGATTCAATTATTATATTTGGATTTTTCAGTGTTATTACAGCATCTTTGATAACTATAGAACCTTGAGTTAGATGAATTCAAAATGTTACTTAGAGAAAGAAAAACTGACTGTATTTCATTAGGAACACCACTAAATATAAAGATCCAGTACCTTAATTTAGAGTCGCAATGTTCTGCCGCCTATAAGTCCCCATAAAATTGACATTGAATAGCTAAAACAAATAGGACGGCAGCTTTTATCGGACACATTTTTATTTGAATACCAATGAAATTTTATTCTAATTAATTTTAGAGATTCCCATGGTTTAATATGTAAACTACCAAGCAATATTATCAATTTGATATTTCCGACTGCTGACCTTAATAGAATAACACGTCAATTGAAATTAAACAATAAATATGATATAACTCTTAAACAAAACGAACAATATGATTCTGAAAATCCCATACGTACAAATAATCAACAATTTTTCCTCTTGTCTGCATTGGAAACATTTCAAAGTGAACAATCGATTATTACTTCATTGCATACACCAATAACGAATAGTGATTCAGATGTGCTAAAGACACCACTCCATTCATTACCAATATCACATGATAATACAGCTCGATTTTTAAAAGGAACTACAAGTAAACTATTATTTCAAGATTGTTTTTAAATTTTAACATTGTGATTTTTTCAGAACCACTACCACCAACGCCTAATCCGACTTCAAAACTATCATCAAGTAAGAATCAAATAAAATCAAGATGATCGAGAATGTTGAGTGAAATTGAATCCTGGACAGTCTTTTCTTCTTTTTGACTTTGTTATGATCAGTCAACAATTGTTCTGTCAGGCATACTAACAGTGCTAACATATACACTGAAAAAAATATTCGTATTTGAATGAACCCATCAAAAGGGTATATCAATCTCACATATACCCTTTAAGGGTTTATTCTGTATAATAAACCCTTCCATATACCCTTTCGACTGATAAATCCTCGAAGGGTATTTTTCAAGACCCAATTTATTTTTGTACTCTTTAGAAGCGTTTATGAAATCAATAAACCTTTCAAAGGTTTATCAACAGTGATATACCCCATTGGGTTTAGAAAAGTGCAACCTATGAAATAGCCTTCGAGGATTTATCAGTCGAAAGGGTATATGGAAGGGTTTATTAAACAGAATAAACCCTTAAAGGGTATATGTGAGATTGATATACCCTTTTGATGGGTTCATTCAAATACAAATATTTCTTTTAGTGTAGCTCTACTAATATCCTTCTATTTAATACTTTCTCTATATTACTTTAGACCCTGAATCGAATCATATTGTTGTGAGACAATCATCTCAACATTCGAATTCTTCATCGACATCACCAATAATTGATAGAAATAACAATTCCGTGGCATCGCCAAAAGCAAAAGTATCTTCGATACCGAGTGTTATTGTTCTCGACTAAACTTTTGTCTTCCCAGCTCAAACAGGTACGATTGTATCATAAGCATATATGGCCGTTTACAGCCGTATACAAAGTCCATAATCGTCGTCCTGGGTTACTGCAAGTTTTTAAAACCTTTTGTTGCGCGCTTTTTATGTTTAACATTTGGAATTTTGTTTTCTGTGATATATAAAAATATTTGAATGTACAAATATTTCATTTATTACTTTCAAACAAGAAAATTAATCCGCTTGATTATAAGCGTTTTTTTATTCATTTGAATCTCTTATTTTTTATTTAGTAATCAGGTGACGGAAATAAATTTAGCTTATGTTGATACTTTTAACGAAAAGAACAATTTGTTATGGATCTTGAGTCGACAAAGCAGTAACAAAAAATTCAAAACAACAGTGAATGTTATGTGATCAGTCTTCTGGCTTTTGGATGGAATTAGAGATAGAGTTAATATTATTAGATAGAGAAAATAATTTCTTGTCGAATTGCATATTCGGTTATGCTTGAAAACTGGCAAGTGTGATCAATTTGTTTCTAAATATCTTTGCTTAATAATAGCAGAGTTTATTTTTATGTCAAAGCCTTAGCAAATGAGAAAAAAAAACTTTTTATTTGACAAAAATCATACGTAAAATTAAACGTATGTTAGAATTGACAAATAAATTACGGTAGAGACAGAAACAAGTAAAAGAAAATAATAGAAAAAAAAGAAGAACAGAGAAAGAATGGAAGAAAAATTCAAGATCGAATCGATTGGCTACATAAACGGGACCGGTCTACCGATAAAAAAACATATATGTCAAACTTGAAACTTGCAAGTTGAAAATTTCAAGTTCAATTGAATTCAAGTTTCAAGTTTGACACTACTGAATCTCTGATGGTTTACTTCAAAATTCGACCAATAACTTATGAGGAGCGATGAATGAAAAATTGAGATAAGTAGTTATTGATCCTTGCTATAGTATTTTTCTATGCTAAATATGTATACAACACTTGATTAGATAATCTTCAAGAAAATTTCATGCAACAATATTCCGTTGGAAAGTACGAAATCAATAGTTGAATCTCAAAGAAATCTTTTTGATTCGAGATTACTGTTTCTTTGTTTGTAGATTTATTTTTTTCAAGTTCGAAGAGTTATGAAGCACCGTGTATATGTAGCGAAGTATAATAACATCTCAACTATCCTATGAAGTTGTTCTGGTATTGATAGATAACGCAAGTTTGATTAATGGCTGTATCAAATAATGATAAGAGTTGAATTAGACCACCTCCTGTTGCTACAAATTGACGATTTAAATCTGGCCACCATCCTATACGTACGTCACCTAGGCCAGTATTGTAACCAACATTTGTTCGAGTAAGGCACTGTCGTGACAGTAAATCGAGATAAACACATAGTTGTACATTTATATTATTGTATGTGACACATATCTGGTGAAAAGCTCCGTCATATAGTGTGCTCTGACCAACATAAATATTATTATTGTCATACGGACTACACATGCCATACAAAGTGACGTGACTGGCATCGATAACAGATAAAGCAAACTGCTGATTGCATCCTCCAGTCGCAGTTGAAAGAGCTGAGCCGATTGAAAATATGATATTGTCAGTATTCGATGGACTGGCTCGAAACCACACACAGCCACTGCGACTAAGATCACCACTAATTATTGTATTAGCACCCGAATATGTCAAATAAGTTCCTTGTATAAGCGAAGGCATTGCCCAAAATGGTATACATATCGGCGCTAAATAAAAATACAGTAAATCTCCTCTAACATGAATCCTATCGGGATCGACTTAAATCGTTCTCATTAGCAGACGGATCACTGAAGAGGGTTTTTAGAAAAAAAAGGAAGGAAATAGGATCAATGGTGCTGCTCTGTTTTCACTAAGGCGCCAACTCTAATTGATTCAATCTAGTTTTATCACGAGTTTTCGTGTTACATATGAAAGATTTTTCGACATTCTTGACTTCTCATGATCTATTTACAATTTGCAATCTACTGGCTTTAGTGTGTTTGAAAAAAAGAGCACAACTCACCATCAAACCAACTAGATACAGTTTCACTTCTTTATAAATGATACAATCCTTCAATATTCAAATTATAGAGATTAATTTATAAGGCAGGGAGCGGGAAACTGTTCACAGTCAAAATTATTGAGTGATCCTAATCGAGGTGATCAGTAGGATAATTTTTACTGTAGACATAGAAGGTGACGTGCATCAATTATTCACATGGTTGTCACATCGGACGAGTTGAACTTCCAGTGTAATGCAATAACTTCTAAGATCGAATTTCGATTTGTAAAGAAAATTCCCTATTTCTGAAATATTCCACTACGGAGGGGAAAATTTAGAAATTTTCGGTCGATAATTTACAACAACTACTTAAAAAATTGTTGATGCTAGTTCACTAATACCTATATTTTACAAAAATAAAAACTTGGAAATTTTCAGAATCGTCAACTCTTCATAATTTCCCGATCTCGGGGCACTGCTAAATTAAAATGACAAGAACTTTGTTTCTACTTTTCAGTTGTTCGCTTAGAATACGAATAAAAAAGCATGCTCAAGCCAAGTTTGTTCCTCAGGTAATGTTTCTATTGATATATCATAGCTTTTCATAATAACCCTCGTCTTAGCTCACTCGTTTTTCGCTTACTTTGCACATCAGGTCAAAAATAATCATTGAGTTTGAACTTCCTTGTTAGTCAGACTCGCTTATCGAGTTGAAAAGTACGGCACGACGTTTGTCGCAATCGAACACGATTAAAATAACTTTTTAGTGCATGCAAATACGTTGTATGTTTTTATTAAAAGCACGGGAGGCCGGAAACTCGTAGCCCTTAAGGAATTCAAAAAATTCTGAATTTTTACTGAAACATAAAAATAAACAACATATCACTCATAAAATGACAAGGAATCTACGAAACTAATAGACCTACAGAAAAGTCAGCAAATTCAAGATTCTTGAGGATGTGTGTGTTTCTAGTCATATTCTCTGACGCTCATTCGTTATCCCTGAAGCTCTATGAACTCCGAGGATTCGTTGAATCCGACGAGTGCTGCGTACTGTTGTTTGGTCAAATTTAGTGCTTTTTTTAGTTCCTTAAAATTCAGAGTCAATATTATATCGTAATGGTCTAGTTCTTACAGCATGATAACAAGAATTTTACTGAATAAATAAATATTGACTGTTCATCGATTGAATTTGAGATAAATTTTCGTACCTGTTGTTGTTGTCGCAGTAGTCGTTGTTGTAGTTGATGTAGTTGTTGTAGTTGCAGTAGTTGTCGTAGTGGTTGTGGTTGTTGTTGTGGTTGTGGTTGCTGTAGTTATTGTAGTTGTAGTAACTATGGTACACGCCGAAATCAATATCATACATTTTCATTCAAATGGCTTCTGAGATGGGTTTTCTAGCAGTGTCCTAGGACTGAGAAATAGAAATTTTTCCTAAGCGCCCCTACACAGTTTCTTGCATACTAAAGGTAAAAATATGGAATATTCACAATAAGTTTTGCACTTACTCATTTTCATCTGCAAAAAATTGCAAGAATCAATAGTTCCATGCACAAATGATTTACAAAAAGTAATATCGTGACTTTCGTGAATGGTGGAACTGTGAGGGAATCAATGGTTGATTCCTATTTCCTCTAGAAATTATCACAGTGGTATATACTGACAATTCCTTGGCAGATTAGGAATTCCTATTTCTCAGTCATCGGGCACTGCTGATTTTCATACCTGTTGTTGCTATTGTTGTGTCTCTATTTGACGTGAGAAATAGGGTAAGTACAATTGCCAAAATTATACCGCCAATCAATGCACCAAGCAATATCCCTTGTAGGAACTCTGGTATACATGAATAGCACTTCACTGTGCCCTGTAGATATCTTTTTCTAAAACGTCATTTCGTTAAAATTCTAAACTCTAAAGCAGGTTGTTTAGTTTTCTTACCTGTTTGTTTCCTGGCTCTCTGAGCGATGTTCATTGTTTCTATTACAGAATTCACTAATAGGACTAGTATTATTTGCACTGGTTTTATTGAATATGGATTTGTTTTTGAAATTATCACGCTCTGGCATTAGCCAGTTAGACAATTGTGGATAACGACATTGTTTTTTAGCGTAAGCCATTTCGATGTGATTACCCAAGTCACTCCATCCTGCCTCCGGATTCAGTCGGGATCCGTCGGAACCGGCACCGGATAACACCAGAAGACGGCATGATTCCCACTCAAATCTGCCAGGATCCGGCAGGGATTTCGCCGGAATCTTTGCTCCCGGAAACCCCGTCGGAATTCAAAGGAAAATGATCCGGTCGTTTCCTGCCGGATAATACAACCGAACATTGTCGCAACCGATCCA